ATCCGATTTTGATTCTCAGCACCACATACTGGCACTTAACCATCTGTTCCAGAGACCAGATGCTTTCTTCTGGCCTCCAAGACATGCACACGGTACACCGACAAACATGAAGACAAAATATCCATACACATAAAATAAACACATGAAGTTTGAATGAATGAACCAGACAAAGTAGTTTTGTTTCAATGTGCACTGGTGTTTTGCCTGCATGCATATCTGCATGAGGGTGTTGGGTCCCCTGGAACTGGAGTTACAGACAGTTGTGAGCTGCCATGTGGGTGCTGGGGATTAAACCTGGGTCCTCTGGAAGAACCACCAGTGTTCTTAACCACTGAGCCATCTCTCCAGCCACCCAAAGTATTAACTAAACATATTTTTATGTTGTATTAATTTTATTTATTTGGGGAAGCAGTGCAAATAGAGGTCAGAGGACAACCTGAAAGGACTGGTTCTCTCCCTCCTCCCAATGGGTCCTTTGGATTGAACTCCAGTGATCAGGATTGGTGACAGGCACCCTTACCCACTAAGTCATCATGCCGACCCTCAACTAAATATTTTTAAACTGTTATGCAAAGAGAATAAACTGGAGAAAGATACACAGCATAAAACCCCCTAAATATGGCTTTACTTAATTACTTAATTTACTATTATTTCTAAATAGTTTTAAAGCACGTTTATAAAGCTATACAAGGTTTCAAGATGTGCACATACACAGCAAAAGGTTAACCACGCCCTGAAGGGAACCACCATCCAGATAATGTTACTTCTGGGAAAGAGACAGGAAGCAGGACTGAGGGGGGCTTCTCGGGGGATCAACTGAACATGATGGGAACCCCTAGAAAATCCCCTCTCGTGACAGGTCTTTCCGAGTGAACTCCTTAGTGAGCTAGCCTGTCTTCCTTCTTTCTCCTGGGATTTTCTGGTGCTGGATGCAATGTGACCTTTTGACATATAACTCAGGGCCACAGTCCATCGCTGCAACTAATCTTACCAAAATACTATAACAAAACTATTATGGTTCCCTTTCATTCTCCTCCTACGCTACTACAAGCTCTAGCAATCACTAAAAGGAAAGCCATTTCATATTTCAAGCTCACCCAACTTTGTGGTATTTGGCCATGCTCAGAATTATAATTCATTCTGAATCAAAGACCAATGCAGAATGAGATATTAAAATTAAAGAAAGCACTGTTCAGCTCTCCATTAAATAAATCAATATCCCAAAATTCTGTAATGTGTTACACTAACATTCTGCCTTACCACCTCAACTGTATTTAGAAAACATCTTAAGACTTAGGTCAGATCTACAGATCTGAAAATATATTTAATATTTTACTTTCTTTGGGATTTAGAGATTAAAATAAAAATGTTAGGCATGTGAATATACACACCCTTAGATTAAAAAAAAAAAAAAAAACCAGTCACATCTGACCAGGAATTCCTTTTTTTCTCTGTACATAAAAGCTTCCTTCCATCATCAGCACTTACAGATCTGTGAAGGAGGAGCAAGATAAAATGACCGACCAAGACAGACTGGCAAAATCTAGTATCTTTTCTGTGAAGAAGAAAAAGAAGAGGAGGAGGAGGAGAAGTAGCACTAAGTGAGAACTCTGGGAGCTTTAATAGCCTCGTTAGGTTTTTACTGTTCCCACTGTATTCAACCTATCTTTAAATATATTTCTTTAAAGTATCCTGCTATCCAAATTCTGTTTTAAAATTTTTTAAAAAATGGGTTTTTATCACAGTTGGCCACTTGCCATGGCCTGCTTCAACGGCAGCTAGCAGGGTCCTGGCAGTGCAAAGATGTTGCTCTGGTGAGGGCAGGATGGAGACGGAAAAGGTTAACTCCCAAACAAACACCTGCAAAACTCTGCCTCCTTTGCAATGTACGCAGGGAAGGAACATGGAGCTGGCAGTGCCTCTTCAAGCAGTTCCCTCCTATCTTCTGCAGAAACCAGGCTGCCCAGCTCCAACAACAAAAGCCAGGCAGTGATTTTTGTGCTACTCTCTTTCCTTTTTTGTGTGGTCCTGGGGATAAAACTAAAGGTCCCACACATGCTAAGCAACACGCTACAACCTAGCCCTACTGTAGCAATTGTTTATTTGTTTGTTTGTTTGTTTGTTTGTTTCAAGACAAGGCTTCTCTGTGTAGCCCTGGCTGTCCTGGAACTCACTATGTAAACCAGGCTGGCCTTGAACTCACAGAGATCCACCTGCCTCTGCCTCCTGAGTGCTGGGATTAAAGGCACCACTGCCTAGCTATGACTACTGAGTAGCCTTTATACAGCCCTGACTGCTTCAACATAATGCATACTCCTTCAAGATTATTTGCTGTTGCATGAATCAGAAGTCATTCCATCACTGTAATGTCCTGGCAGAGAACAAGATGATATATAGCTGCATTTCCCCTGGAGCTAAAGGATTTAGACAATGGGCTCTGGGAATGTCTAACTCACTGACTCATCCATCCAAAAGTGATTGACTATCTAGGCTCTCAACACGGAACTAGAAGACATTACAGGCTTCTAGTTGCCCACCAATGCCATGAATGCCATCAATACATGAATATCATGGACAACTAACCACTAACTAAGGTCTTCCTGATACACTTTGCACTAATGTAACTACAAAGGAAATTATAAACATTTTGTTTCAAGCCAGCCTGGCACAATTTAGAATTAATTTACTAGCACAATCCTACCTCTGCACTCCAACTTTGACTGCTTGTACCTTCTACCAACTCTCCAACTCTTGGCTCCCCAACACATCTATCTGCACCTCTTCTGCCATTCTCTCAACAGTTTGGATTAAAAAGAAGAGGTGGAGGTCAATGGAAACCACAAAGGAGAAAGATGAAACTACAGCCAAAATGACTTTTTAAGGAGGATGAATACAAAGTAAATCACTGACCAAGGTATCAGATGAAATTATGGAAACTGTCGTGATGAGGAACTGGGGGGCTGTTTGTCTTACTCCAAGCTCCTGACCTCACTGTAAGAATGAAACCTAGATGTTGAACTTTAATGAAGCCACACAATGAAACAACAGTCACTTATAAGAGTTATAAAAATAATATGAGTCAAGAGAAATGGCTCAGCAGTTAGGAGTGAGTACTGTATATTGATCTTGCAGAGGACCAATGGGGTCCTAATACCCACATCAGAAGGCTCACAATCACCTGTCATTCCAGGGCCAGGGGTTCTGACACCATCTTCTGGCCTCCATGGGCACCCATACACAGGTGACATAAACTCACATAGACATACACATATATGAAAATAATAAAATCTTTTTAAAATATGCAACCAGATTCAGTGACACCTTAATCCCAGTATGCATGCCTATCACACACACACGCACAGAGAGAGAGAGAGAGAGAGAGAGAGAGAGAGAGATACACACAAATAATAAGCAAAATAAGCTTCTAAGGTTCACTTAACTGAACATTTTTACTTAACTGACAAAAAGACCAAAGAGGTTAAATGTCTCGTCCAAGATCAAATGCAAGTTCGTGGACAAGAGAATTCACACTTGTATTATACCACATGCACCTTCAATTACTTTAGTGGAAAACACACAAATATACACACATTTATCACCTCTCCATTTAAGTGGCTTAGAAAACTAACAATAGCCTGTCGGCACAGCTATCAGTTCTCCAAAGACTTCAAGTCCCACCAACGGCATGACAAGCACAGCCTCTTCCACAGAGATGTCGCAATGTCTCTGAAAGACGGTCATAGTTACCAAAAGAATGGATGCCCACATTTGTGGAAGACCAGAGTCTATGCTTCCTAAATAAACAACTCCAGACTACTTGTTTTCATTTTAGTTTCATAAGCAACGAGAGCGGTGGAAGAACCAGAAATCCCTGTATTTACGTTTCTAATGTAGAAAGGAAGATGGGTAAAATTTTCCTAAGAAGAACACTCGTGCATAGGAATGCCTGCTTAAGGGGAAGTGGCATTCTATGCACAGAGACACTAGACAACCATGTGATGAATTTGAATGTTTTCCCAATGTGGAAACAAATGTTTAAGGAGAGAGGTATGTTTACTTATTTGAGCATCACACGATGTGTACACAAACCAAAACATCCCATCACAGTTCCCCTTAAACAGGTATAGGTATGCTTTTTATTTGACGATTCAAAGAAGATTAAAGGAAAAGATAAAAAAAGATAAGACCATTATCATACAATGTTCAGTAGGCTCTTAAGGGAATCAACACTTAAGGCTCTGCATCAATACATACAAGAAAAAAATTGGAAAGTTAGAAAGAACTAAGTCAGAGAAAATTATTCATAATTCCTCCTCTGATGAGCGTAACACAAAGGGCTACTGCATAGAGCTTTGGGAAGAGCACAACACACAGAACGCAGTCTTTGTACAGGGATTTTCTGAGTGTTCTTCATGCTGTGTGTGCCTTCTCAGACTGCTGAGAAAATCTCCTAAATTCTATGTGGAGGGGAGGTAGAGGGAAAGCAGGTACATGAGAAGGCAGGCATCTGATCTGATAAACAAATGTCAAAGTAGCTTGTAATAATGAAAGCACAACAATACATTTCAATACAAAATTAGAAGCACAGAAAAGAACACAAAGAAGCTTACTTAATAAGCATTATAGAAAGGGAAATTTCAAAGATCAAGAAGCAATCTTTGTGCCTGAGGAATAAAGTCAGATCTTGAATTAAACTGCCCCCAACCCAGTGTTACCTAAGAGCTTGGCAAACGGACATAGCCTATCTCTCCTGTGTATGAAAGTGCTCTCCTCTCTACTGGCCTCTCTCTATCCCATGTATCCTATCCCTAGCTAATGTCCCAGTTCAGCCATCTCTTCCAGATCCACTGCACTGATTGGTCCTTTATTGCCCTCTACCTCTGTGGTCCCGTACTCTCTATCTACCCTTTACACAGACACCAGGATGACCCACATAAAAGCATACACTTCATCAAGTGGTTCTCCTACATTA